GGCGCCCGCCCGACCCCGAATGGGTTAAGGTAAATTCTGATGGAGCTTTTCAGAGTAGCACGGGCATGGGGTGCGCGGGAGGTCTTATTATGGATGAGTCCGGCAGTTGGATTGCTGGCTTCCTTATGAATATCGACCTCTGTACTATCACGGGAGCCGAGCTGTGGGGTCTCTTTCAGGTCTACAACTGGCCTAGGACCGGGGTTACCATCATGTTTTAACCGAGGTTGATAGCATGTGCGTGACGAGCATGGTCTCTGGCTCCGGTGACTACCATGGAACTCACGGGCCTCTAGTCCAGGCTATACGGGAGATGTTGCACAGAGATTGGCAAGTCCGGGTTGTCTACGTCCATAAAGAGGCTAACTTTACGGCTGACCATATGGCTACTCTCGCGGCCTCTTCTTCGTTGGATCTTGAACGTGCTTCAACACCCCCCTCTGGCTTGGGGTTTTGGTTGGATCATGATGTTATAGGGGTCTCGTATCCCCGCCGAGTCTTAGATTAATCTCACTCTAGGCATTTTGTCTCCTCTTTTGTACCAAATAAAAAATAAATAAATAATATTAATAATTACAAGTGTATTTATACTTGAGCATTACCAACAATATTCAATGACGAGTATGTTGGGCAACTTGCATGCCATCGGACTGGCGAGTAGGTGCAATATTTTTTTTTTTTTTTTTTTTCCGAAACGACAGGATATTATACCAAAAAATAGAGAGAACAATGTTCTATACAAATGCACAAACGCAAAATAGCAAAAGAAGAGCTAAGCTTCCAAGCAACAGAAGGATGAGCCTATCTCTAGCATTGACAACCAAAGGAACTAGAGTGAGGCTCATACTCCCAAAACCAACCAAAGGATGGCAACAAAAATAGCTTACCACTGACCCAAGAGGGCCCTAGTGAGCTATCAAAAGACTACTAAAGCAGTAAAGAAAACTAGCAACTAACTAAAACAGAAACAGAGAAAAACTAAGCAGCAACCTAACCAGCTAAACTAGAGAATTCTGCCCATTCTCTCACAGCTAAATTTACAGTGTCGATTTCTGATCTGAGGATGTTTTGGAAAACCCAGAGATTACGAGTTTTCCAAATCCACCACAGCAAATATGTTGTGAGCTGGATTCGTTCCTCATTGATGGGCTTGAGAGGTAGAGAGCAGATCTTCATCCACCAGGTTCTAAAACAAGTCCCTGTGTTATGATTGAATTCCCAAGAGATTGGGGAGAGCATCCAGATAAGCTGAGCTCTTTTACAGTGGAACAACATGTGCTCTTGAGTCTCTACATCTTCCCCACACATCTTGCACCTAGGATCCGCTTGCACTCCTCTGTTGATGATATTACTAAGCACTGGAAGTATATTGTTGATTCCTTTCCACACAAAGTGCTTTAGTTTCCCTTTGACCTTCATGCTCCAAGTTCTTCTTCTTATTTTTCTGATTTCCTTACAGTTGGTGCTTGACTCTGCTAAGTCCAGGTTCATCCATTTTGTCTCAATGAGTTTTTTATATGTAGATGCCACAGAGAAGATACCTTTGTTGTCCCAGTCCCATATGATTCTGTCAGTAGAGTGAGGGTTAAGACCCTCGATCTTTAAAATGGCCTCTGAGACATGTTTTGGGAAGCTATCTTCAATGAGTCTTCTGTTCCACCTTCTACCTGTGTCATCAATCAGTTCCTTTACCCAAATTAAATGAGAGTTGTTCTGATTTTTACCAGTGGGAGTGAAACCTTGTATGTTTGGGATCCAAGGATGTTCCCAGATTTTGGTGTTTCTGCCATCTTTGATTTCAATTCTCAAGCCCTTGTGAAAAGAGTCTCTCATCTTCATCCAACTACTCCAGAGCCAGAAACTGTTGCTTTTTTGCCTCACCTTGAAGAAGGAGTCTGACGGGTAGTATAAGCCTTTAAGAATTCTGCTGACTAGCAGGTTGGGTTGGCTCATTAGTCTCCAGAGCTGCTTGCAAATAAGGGATTTATTGAAGGTGTGCAGATCATGGAATCCCAAGCCTCCCATATCTTTTGGCAGAGTTATCTGGTCCCATGATTTCCAATGTATGCTCTGATTTCCTTGCTCCTTACTGCCCCACCAGAATTTTGCCATTGAGCTTGATATCCTCTTGAGGGTGGCTTTTGGGAGAAGAAAACAAGACATTGAGTAGGTTGGCATTGCTCCTAAAACAGCTGCCATCAAAACTTCCTTACCTGCATTGGATAAATATCTATTTTTCCAGTTTTCAATTCTTTTTTTCACAGAGTTTTCAACAAAAGCAAAGGTGTGGGTTTTAGATCTCCCAATCCCAAGGGGTAACCCTAAGTAGGTTGAGGAAGTTTGAGGTGTGATACCCATCAGGGTTGTACATATTTCAGATTTTATCTCTTGGGGAGTGTTAACACTGAAGAAAATTGAAGATTTTGAGAGGTTAACTTTCTGGCCAGAGAGTTTCTGATAGGTATATATGGAGAATGTGAAGGAGGGAGATGGCTTGGTTAATGTCAGCTTTGAGAAAGATCAAGGTGTCGTCTGCAAAAAATATATGGGTTAGAGGTGGACAGTTTCTGCTGAGCTTAATCCCTTGGATTGAGCCTTTTTGAACTTCAGAATTAATGAGAAAAGTGAGAACTTCAGAAATCAGAATAAAAATGTAAGGTGATAACGGGTCGCCCTGTCTAATGCCCCTGGAGGGAACAGTATATCCACAAGCATCACCATTAACATTATAAGAGAAAGAAGTAGTGGAGATACAATTAACAACCCACATCACAAAAGTAGGATTAAAACCCAGATTAACCATGACATTCTTCACACAGCCCCACTCGACTCTGTCAAATGCTTTAGCCATGTCTAATTTAATAGCCATATAGCAATGTTTACCTGATCTGTGATTTTTAAGGAAGTGAATGACCTCATTTGCTATGATGACATTATCAAGGATTTGTCTGTTCTGGACAAAAGCAGATTGGTTATCACTGATGCAAGAAGGCAAGCAAGTTTTAAGTCTATTTGCAAGAATTTTCGAGATGACTTTATACACTACATTGCAAAGACTTATGGGTCTGAAGTTAGCCACATGAACAGGGTTAGAGCATTTAGGGATGAGGGTGATCAATGAGTGGTTTAAACTTTTCAAGATTCTACCAGATTGAAAAAAGCTTTTAACATAGCTGCATAAATCATTACAAATGATATCCCAAAAGGAGTGAAAGAAAATAGAGCTCATACCATCAGGTCCTGGTGCTTTGTTGGGGTGGATACTGTGCAGTGCCTCTTTGATCTCTTCATTCTCTACTAGTGCAATCAAATCAGAGTTTTGGCCATCAGTGATTACTTTCTGCAACCCTCTAAGAACATTGCCTTCATCTGAGAATCCTTCTGATGTGAAAAGATAGGAGAAGAAGTCTTCAATGCAGTGAGATATGGCATCTTTGGTTTCACAGATTGTGGAGTCCTCTCTGATGAGTCTGTGAATTTTATTCTGCTTTCTCCTTTGTGATGTGTGGGCATGAAAAAAGCCGGAGTTTTTATCCCCAAACTTCAACCACTTCAGTCTTGCTTTCTGCTCCCAGTATTTCTCTTCTTGATCATAAGCTTTGCTAAGCTCTTTGTTGAGTTGATCCCATTTTTTCCAGTCTCTAAGGCCACCTTCTTCTCTCATGTTGTTCAGCTCTCTGTTGATGGATTCAATTTTTTTGACTTGCACTGATCTAAAAGAGCTGCTCCATTTAAGGAGTTCAATCCTTGTGTTTCTGATTTTGGACTGTAGTGCAAACATGGGGGTTCTTGATTGAGGTTTGCTCCATGATGATAGAACAGTTTGCTTGATGTCATCCCTTTCGAGCCACCGTTTATCAAAGTGGAATCTTTTCTTGTTCACATTACCTGCAGGACTGCTGTCAAGTAATAGTAAGCTGTGGTCAGAGGAGCTTTTAAATATGTTTGTGACTTGGGCAGATGGGTAGAGATTCATCCAATCAATGGAGCCGAAGATTCTGTCGAGCCTTTCTTCTATGAATCCCTCATGTTCTCTGTTATTTCCCCATGTAAAGGGATAGCCCATCATGTTAATTTCAAGCATACTCATAGGTGTGATGCAGTCCTTGAGATGCTGGCAAGAGTTGAGAGTTCTCAATCTTCCTCCTTTCTTCTCCTCTGGTTTGAGTATGTCATTAAGATCTCCTCCCAGGAACCAATACTTGCCCCATTTAATTTTTTGAGAGCTCAGATAATCCCATTGTTTTTGCCTTTCCTGCTTGCCATTACTAGCATACAGGAATATTCCCCAGCTAGTAACCCCTTTTTCCTCGTCCCAGAACTCAGTTTCTATGCAATATTCGGTAGACAGAAATTCTATATTATCTCAATTACTGTGCTTGTTAAAAAATTATTCTTATATTTTAAAATTAATGAAAAAATTATATTAAATTTAGTTTACTTTTTTTAAAAAAAAAAAATATATTACTATATATTTTAGAATATATGTGTTACTTATGACTTACATGTGTTATATTATATTAGTTTTTATAACTTATATCATATAACTACTTGAAATATAAATACATTAGTTGATAAATAATTTTATTTTTCTAATTAATATTAAATATAATTTTAATATTGTTATAAAGATAAATATAAATTATATTTTTATACATACAATATAGATGATAAATCGAAACTCATCAAAAGAAGATTAATTTGATATATTACATATGTAAAACTGGTAAAAAATACAAAAGTTATTAACTTTTAAAATATATATACAATTCAATAGTTATAATAAGAAATAATATTAAAATGTAATTAATACATGTAACATGACCATAAATAATCAACATATTTATGGTAATCCGAACTTAATTATTTTTGGTTTGAAATTAAATTAAAATTTACCCAAGCCTAATAACGAAACATGTAATTTTGCCACATATGATTCTAAAACACCAGAAGCAGCCACGTAGGCTCAACGAGTTCTGGATTAATATATAGGGGGATTACGTAGCAAATTTAATTAAGTATTTCGAATTCTATAGTCTGCACAAAAATAATACAATTTGAGAGTTTAGAAAATATTCGTATGCTACTAATATTTTCTTTTATCAAATATTCGACCATTTTTCATCTCATCAATATTTATCCGATTTATAGTTGAAGCTACAATGCATAATTATATATGTTTAAACATATATAAATTACAACTTCATATATCTGATTTGATTTATTTTTTTTTTTTTTAAAAAAAAAA